TTTTAAGTGTATTTATTCTTTTCGTTTGACAATTTTATAAACTTTTGTATCCTTTTCTTTCATTGTATTATAGTTTCACTAAAAAGGATCCAACTTGAAACAAAACATTTGGATTTTTTTACTATAAACATTTATTCAACATAGTTAACGTTATTACAATATAACGCCCTTTATTCCTGCATTTTACAATAGCTTCTGTTGGCCCTTTCTCCACTGCATATGTTTTAGATTTTTATTTAGGTGCTCTCATCACATATCCATTCTCTTTATTCTTCACTCTTCAGATCTTAATGAATTGCAATAATCAATTTTATTTCAAGAATCGGAGGACCAAGAGTCGTGACAGAGTGGTAGTGTCTAAATATTTTATTCTAAATTACGAAAAAATATCACCTCGGCCAGGGTGTTATTTTTTCGTAATAAATTTAGAGTAAAATATTTAGACACTAGCACCCTGTCACGGCTCTTGGTCCTTTGTTTCTTGAAATTTGTGTTTAACCCATATAAGCCATACTAATTAATTAATTTTATATTTAGTAAAAATCTTAAAACACCGTGTTTTCAGGATAATCAGGGTAAATGTTTTAGGATTTACACTGTCTTTAGTTTATTATCGTTTGAACTAACACAATCGTCTGTTTCTCACGACGACGCCTTGGGGACGATGTCCCTGAGTCGTGAAGTAATACTCGTACACAATTGTACGCTTTTAATTAACAACGGATCCGATCGCTTGACTATCACGACGACGTCTTGGGGACGATGTCCCTGAGTCGTGAAGTAATACTCGGACACAATTATACGCTTTTAGTTAACAACGGATCCGATCGCTTGACTATCACGACGACGCCTTGGGGACGATCTCCCTGAGTCGTGATGCTCGGTCACTATTGCACACTTCTATCGCAGTTAACTGACCTTCGTGAAGTTAGCCCTATGACTGTCGAGACAGGAATGACTGGTCGCGGAAGGAACGGACTTATATATTTTTGAGTAAAACGGCTGCGATTGGCGAGCGGCAGATCAATCGCGCCGCCAATCGAGTCGCACTCCCTTGATCTGTTAATAGGTGAGAGAAAAGAAAGTCGGCGCGTTGACAAGGGATTTAGATATCCAAGTCGGCCTTCCGCGACTTTCGGCACGATTGCGCGAGAACAAACAAAGTGACCGACGTCAAGCCGCGATTGATTTATGGATCCGCGTTTTCGTTTGTGCGTGTAACCGAGTTTTAGAATCGCATGTACATTTATGTATATGTTTGAAATGTTAGTGAAAAAGTGAGACAGGGCGCGCGGATCGTAGGTTCAGGGTTGAGGCGTTCGGATTTGAACGATTGACAAAAGTCGCACGTAGTAACAATTAAGCTCTCGGCAACCCCGTGATTTCGCGTTAACGATATCGATCGGTTACCAAAACAAGAAGAAAAGAACGAGGCTATGCCTTCACACCTTTGTCCACGGCTTCACTTCTTCACTTCGTCTCTGCTATCCTAAGGGAATAGTCGTGTCTCATTGTCAGTGCCTGTTGATTTCAATTCTTTGCTTATTAAAAGTGATACCTATAAAGTCAGTTCGTTCCGGAAGGGTGCAAATTAATTCTTGATATAGTTTCGAAGTGTCGATTATATTTATACGAAGGAGTTACGTCCACCAAGGACATTTTCCGATCTCGCTACGGCGGGCGGCCTCTTCCAAGGACCTTCTTTGATATTGCTAAGGCGGGCGGCCTTTCGGCCACAAATCATATCAATCTTTGGACGTATTTTGAGAGGATTCCCGCTATTGGACCCTTTACATAATCGAAATACTTTCGATAATTGAAACCGATAAGTACCTTTCGTTTATTACTTTCTGGTTAACCAGAATAAGCGTACGCGCAACATACAGACTCATAATCGGAGTCGTGTCCATACGTGGATAAAGCTTTCGAGCTCTTCCATTGTTCCGACAAGCTCGGATAAGGCGCATAGCCGCTATTGCTTATTCTGTACCAGAATTAATGTGCATCAGCCACTCACTTACTTTTACTTGTTTCCGAAAAGATCAGATAAAGCGCTTTGTCGCTAGTGCTTCTTCTTTATCAGAATTAATATACGTTAACTACATTGAGTTATAATTTCACATACTTTTGTAATTTTGGTGTTGTACTAAGTTCATATTTTCCGTTAAATTAAGTTACTTTCAGTTATCAATTGTTACGGATAAAATTAATTCTACTTAATACTGAATAGCGTTCATTCAAAGACTTTTAACGTTATTTTGTAAATGCGTCATTCACTTTATTATCCGATCTTCAAAAATATTGATCAATGATAATATACCTGTTAAAAATATATGTTTTTTGTCTTTCCAGTTAATTGTTCTTTTTTAAATGCTTGCGCCATCCCTTTTTGATTGGCTGCACTTTCATTTAACAATTTTAATTAATTTCTCTGTTTATGATATCCATATCGTTTTATTGTTGGTGTTGTATGATTAGCCCCTAATTTCTTTCTCATTGAAATTACTTCGTTCTATATTACAAACATTGTGAAAAGAGTTAAATATTTCCAGGTTATTTATTTTCTCGAGTTAAATAATAATCGCGTAAATCGTTTTGTAATTCTGAAATAATAGAATTTAATATTAATTTAATTTTTAACTTAACGCAGAAATTAAGACCTTACACGTCCTTCGTTCGAATATCAGTGTCATCACAAAATAATCCCTTACCTATTGTATTGCAATATATTTTGTGTAACTATCTAACAGTATACATATGTCATTTCTCACTTGCGCTTGTCGTGCACGACTTAATGTATCTGTTTATGTCGCATGTGTGTGTGTGTGTGTGTGTATGTATAAGAGGGTGTGTGGGTACCCTAGGCTATACGCAACACACCGTGATTGACTACGTTTCCACCGACTACGTTTCCACCGAGGGTCAGAGTCGGGCTAGAGTCGGGTCAGAATCGGGTTGGGGTGAGCGTTTTTGCGGTGGAAACACCAAACCGGGTCAGAATCGGGTTGGGGCTTGGTGTTTCCACCGCAAAAACGCTCACCCCAACCCGATTCTGACCCGACTCTAGCCCGACTCTGACCCTCGATGGAAACGTAGTCATAGATTTCTTGAAACCAGGTCAAAGAGTCAGGAATGGACCACTTTTGACCCTTCTAATCTATAAAACTTTTAAGTCTGAATGTTTATTTTAATCAGTAGAGTTTAATAAGTTTCCTAAATAAAATTAAATAATAAACGAGAAATGCCATATAGGTCCGAGCAAGATGTAGATAACCCAATAATTGTAATCTAAAATGTGAATTCATATACTGTTTTCTCCACCTTTGTCCTGAGTGCCCGTTTTCTTTCGAATATAACACGGTTCTCTTACGGATGGAAGTATTACCGTCAAGAAATTCACACATTTAAATCGATAAACGATTTCTTATTAGAATGCTATATTTAGCATTCAATACCTCCCTCCCCGTAATATAAACAAATCTTATTACGAAAGATATTACCTCAGTCTGGATTCAAACCTGGGACCTCCCTCAATCCGTGACGGACGTCTTATAATAATTCAATCTGTAAAAAAAGTGTGTTATGTCGGAAAAGAAACCGGCGCGCAGAACAAAGGTGAAAAACTGTATATGAATTCACATTTTAGATTAGAATTATTGGGCTATCTACATCTTGCTCGGACCTACATAGTTTTCTCGTTTGTTATTTAGTTTGTTTTTAATTTTACATTTGTTTAGATACTCTAACCCAGCGGGGAAATTTAGTTCTGAAAACATTCTCGGATTAATCCGTACAATGTCTTATTAAGACTCTTTCTTTAGAATGTTTTTAGGATGTTCCTGCTTTGTTCCTACAGAATTATTTTAAGGGATACTATTCGAGGATATCTGTATTTACTAGGGCTGGTGATTTCCTTCGAAGGCTTCGATATTCGAAGATTCGAAGCTTCGAAGTAATTCGAAGCTTCGAAGTTTCGAAAATTTATTCGTGCGAGTGACGAATTTCTCCGACAAACACTAAAAATATTGTAAATAAAAAGTACTAATTTATGTATGTTGAGAAATAGATAATTACTTCTAAATTATAATTTTTAAATACTATATATAACATGTAGATTACACACATATTTGTTTAAGATCGCGTAATTAAATCTTAAAAATGGTCAATTAAGTAAATCAATTAAGTATATCGTATCAACACTAGAAAAATTCGCATAAATTCATTATTATATCGCTAATTAATAATAAATTAATTTATTTAAAATTTATCCGAATATTATTTGGGTTTCTAAATTATCGAGTTATTGTCCGTGTGCCTTCTTATCCATGTCTCGCGTCTACCACGTACATTCACCACTTGAATAATATTTAATATAAAAAAGAAACATTTTGCATAAATAGTGAAGCAGTTCTCATTGAATCATGTGTGTTGAATCGATGTGTCAAATTCGTGCCATTAATCTCGTTATAAATATTTACACGGGTACCTTGTACCAAGTATACAGAGTGTCCTATATTAATCGCCCATCCTCTCGTGTGCAGGTAGACAAAATATACAGGGTGGGGCGTTTATCTTGAGACAATAATAGATCTCGGTTGGAATGGATTAGTTCGAAAAAAGTTTCAGACAAAGTTGTTTGGTTTCGAGGGGGCCATAAGATGGTACCATTGGTTTAACCTTGAAGAATTATTTGAAGGTCAAATAAAGGTCACTGTGGTGACCCCGCTTACGCATGGCCCCCACTAATACGATACGTTGGTGGCGACCCGACCCCCCCCCCTGGGGCAGTCGCGAGATACCTACCGTTGGTAACGCGGAGAATAAAAACATTGTCACCTAAGTAAATCTAATTGTAAGTCTCGTTCGAGCTTCCGATAAATAAACATAGTTAATTAGAGGAATCCTCGCCTCCCGTTTACTGAGTGATACACCACAGCCTACGGGATTCTTCATTGGCGACGAGGTAATTCGAATCAACGCGGGCATAACCTAAAAGCATCATGTCCACCGCCGAAAAACTTATCGAAATGCTCATCAAGCAGCAAGAAGCAGCCGAGAAACGACATGCTGTAGAAATGGCACTACTCCGGGAAGCACTCGCAACCCGAAACGAGCAAGTCGCCCCAGCAGCTGCCATCAATGCAGCCGATCAGAAGGAAAAGAACCTCGCTGAGTTAATGGTTCCCTTCGCCTACGACCCAGAAAATCTACTGACCTTCGAAGCGTGGTACAAGCGCTACGAAACGATCTTCTCCACCGACGTCGCCGACTGGACGCCAGCAGCAAAAATCCGATTGCTTCTTACTAAATTCAGCCAGTCGGACTATCAGAAATTCGCAGACTCGATTCTGCCCAGAACCCCAGCAGAACTCACGCTGGAGGAAGCCACGAAAGCACTCAAAACGCTGTTCGGCTACCGTGAGACGAAGTTCGCTATGCGCCACAAGTGCTTTAACCTCAAGAAGGACGACTCCGAGAGCTTCATCAATTACAGCACGCGCATCAACAAGCAAGGCGAAAAATTCGACGTCACGAACTGTTCAGCCGACGACTTCAAGGTGCTCCTGTTCATCAGTGGACTCAGAAGTCCCACCGACTCACAGATCCTCGAAAAGCTCCTCGCGAAGGTTGACGCACAACACAAGCAGCTTGAGGCCGCTGCCGACGATGCAGCACGCAACGCGATCCAGAAACTCACCCTCCAGGACCTGGTCAACGAAGCCGAACGTCTATTGAGCCTCAAACAAGACAAGTCCACTGTCGGCGAACCGTCAACATTAGCTCAGATCCATTCGGTTCAAAAGAGCAGCGGCGGGAAGCAACAGCAACACCAGAAGAAACCTCTTCTTCCGAAATGCCATTTCTGCGGAGAGAATCACTGGCACAACGACTGTCCTCATCGCCTTAAACAGTGCGATACTTGCAAGGTCAAGGGTCACAAGGCCGGTTTCTGTACCTCCGCCTCAGAATTCTGGCAGCAACAAGCCAAGCGACACGCAGCTAGGGCAACTGAGAGCGCTCATCAAGTGAAGCAAGTCACCAACGGGGCCAAGAGCAAGCGTAAGTTTGTCACTCCGAAAGTCAACGGAACGGGAGTGAGACTCCAGGTTGATTCTGCGTCCGACATCACCGTCATTCCCACGAACGCATGGATCAGAATGGGAAGACCAGCGCTCACCCCATGCAAAAGCTCTCCGAAAAGCGCTTCAGGAGACTCAATTCCACTGAAGGGATCCTTCAAATGCCGGATGACGCTTAATAACGTCGAAGGAACAGGGACCTGTCACGTTTCAGACGATCTGACGCTGCTTGGAATCGATTGGATCGACATCCTGGGACTCTGGGACGTTCCCCTCCGAGCGGTGTGCAACCAAATCACCAGAGGACACGCTGAGAACGGACTAGCAACCGAAGCGCAATCAAAATTTCCAGCCCTTTTCTCCGAAGGACTTGGCCTCTGCACCAAAATAAAAGTCCCCCTTACACTGAAGGAGAATGCAACACCCGTCTTCCGAAAGGCCCGTGCCGTTCCGTTCGCAGCTCAGAAGTTGGTCGAGGAGGAAATCATCCGCCAGCAGCAATTAGGCATTCTCACCCCCGTCAGTTACTCGGATTTTGCAGCGCCAGTCGTCGTCGTAAAAAAAAAGAACGGCGGCATCCGCATTTGTGGCGACTACTCGACGGGCCTGAACGATGCCCTGGAGCCGAACAAGTTCCCACTGCCTACGAATGACCAAATCTTCGCTCAGATGTCTGGCAAGAAGGTTTTCAGCAAAGCCGATTTCTCCGAAGCATTCCTACAGCTCGAGCTGGATGACGACGCCAAGAAACTCCTCACCATCAACACACACGTTGGACTCTTCCAGGTGAACAGAATGCAGCCGGGAGTGAAGACAGCACCAGGAGCCTTTCAAGAGCTTATGGCGAAGATGCTCAGCGGTCTGGATGGAGTTTTCGCGTTCATTGATGACGTAATCATCGCAGCAGCCGACGAAGAAAAGCACAAGGAACTACTGTTCAAAGTCCTGCAACGCATCGAAGACCACGGCTTCAAATTACGCATCGATAAATGCGAGTTTGGAAAGAAGGAACTCACATTCTGTGGTCACGTTGTAAGCAGCGAAGGAATCCGTCCGAATCCCCAAAAAATCGCCGGAATCAAAGAGATTCCACGTCCCGAGGACCTTACACAGCTCCGCTCATTCCTGGGCGCCGTTAACTACTACGGAAAATTCGTCGGGAGGATGAGAGACCTGCGAGCTCCACTTGACGAACTCATGAAAAAGGACGTCAAGTTCAATTGGACTCCCCAACGTGAGGAAGCTTTCACCAAGCTCAAGGAGGTCATGGCGTCCGATTTGGTCCTCACGCACTACGATCCAAACAAGAAAATCGTCGTGGCGTCGGACTCTTCAAGCTACGGAAAGGGCGGTGCAGTCCTGCATGAGTTCAGCGACGGCTCACTCCACCCGATCATCCACTTCTCGTGCTCACTCAGTTCGGCCGAGAAAAACTACTCGCAGATCGAAAGAGAAGCCTGTGCCGCAGATTTCGTCTTGAAACGAGCTCGTCCGTACATCTACGGTCGCAAATTCGAGCTCCACATTGATCACAAGCCGCTGCTTGCAATTTTCGGATCGAAGAAGGGCATTCCGGCACACTCCGCAAACCGCCTCCAACGCTACGCTCTCGGCA